TGTTTTTATGTATGCTGTCTGAAAGCCACTGTAAGCGTGAACAATCAATCAAGAACTGAAATGATTTATCAAATCTTTCCAATGATTGCTAAGATAAAATCCATCTTCTCGGTTGAAATTGTCTCTGTGTTTGTATATGTGGATAGCCTCATGAACGAATCTCTCATGGAAGCCAGATGGCTTACAAAGAACCTCCGTCTTGGAAAAGTCAATGGCATGTGAGCCTACTGAATTAGAACAATGATCTGCTACGGCCGAGGTGTTGGTCCTACCGTGTTTAAGGTCTGCTTTATGTTCACGAATGCGGTCCGAGATATGGCGTTTGGTTTCTCCAATGTAACTACTACCACAGAGGCAACTTAGTTTGTAGACACCAGGGTATTGTATGTCCGGAATCACATCTTTTACAGACGGAACCAGATCACGGATTTTATGTAATGTGTTGAAACGGACCTGGATCTGTCCCCAGACGACCTGCTTGTCAGTTTTGATGTAGTTTCCTTATTCACCAAGGTTCCTGTACCTGACACCATTGCAATCATTGAAGACTTGGTTCATCAAGGACTAAACACTGAGGTACCCCCCCTGGTGAGACACTGTTTAACCAATACATACTTCACTTGGAATGGAACTTTCTACAAACAAACTGAGGGCACCCCAATGGGCTCCCCCCTTTCTCCAGTTATAGCTAACATTTTCATGGAGAAATTTGAGACTGACGCCATCCAGACTGCCACTCTGCGCCCAACCTTATGGAAGAGGTACGTGGATGACACTTTTGTCATCTGGCCACATGGCCGGCCTGCTCTAGACCAATTCTTCGACCACATCAATTCCATACACCCAGCCATCAGATTTACCATGGAAGTCGAAATAGATGGCAAGATACCTTTTTTGGATGTCCTAATTAAAAAGAGACCTGATGGTTCAATGAGCCACTCTGTCTACAGGAAAGCTACCCATACGGATGCTTATCTGAAACCGGATTCCCACCACCATCCATCACAGAAGAATTCTCTCATCAAGACTCTGTATCATAGAGCCCAATGCATATCCGACCAGGAACACATAAGCAGTGAACTCAAGCACGTACACCAAGCTCTTAGGGCTAATGGTTACTCCGACTATACAATCCGCAAAGCTATCACTCAAACCATGAAGAAGAACCCTCTTGAGGAGCCTTTCAAAACCATCACTTTACCCTACATTGCTGGGATCACAAAAAAGATCTCCAAAATCTTGAATAAACACAAGATCCAGGTCCGTTTCAACACATTACATAAAATCCGTGATCTGGTTCCGTCTGTAAAAGATGTGATTCCGGACATACAATACCCTGGTGTCTACAAACTAAGTTGCCTCTGTGGTAGTAGTTACATTGGAGAAACCAAACGCCATATCTCGGACCGCATTCGTGAACATAAAGCAGACCTTAAACACGGTAGGACCAACACCTCGGCCGTAGCAGATCATTGTTCTAATTCAGTAGGCTCACATGCCATTGACTTTTCCAAGACGGAGGTTCTTTGTAAGCCATCTGGCTTCCATGAGAGATTCGTTCATGAGGCTATCCACATATACAAACACAGAGACAATTTCAACCGAGAAGATGGATTTTATCTTAGCAATCATTGGAAAGATTTGATAAATCATTTCAGTTCTTGATTGATTGTTCACGCTTACAGTGGCTTTCAGACAGCATACATAAAACAAATTTCGTCTCCCCCCTCCTCTTTTCAAAAAATAGATGGACTAGTCCTGGCAAACAGCCAATCGTTGCGCGTGACGCAAACGTTATTTATATATATATATATATATAAATAAATAACTATGCCGTTTTCAAAATAAATTTATGCAAACCGACACACCTGATGATGACCGTTTGAGTTATGGTCGAAACGTCGTGAGAAATTTTTTTTATTGTTTTATATATATTTTGTTATTTTGTTGTTTCTCTTCAACGTGACTTTACCGAAAAAACTAAGAATATGAATTACTGCAGTCACGAAAGCTTTAAATCAAAATTTAATCGCCTCTACGGGGAGGGTTTTCACATAACTTTAAGATCCTTCAACAAACTCCGGGATAAGAAAGCTCAGCTGATCGAGTCTCTCACCTTCCTGAAGAGATGCCGCGACTCTGGGGTAATACCAATCGCATTTACACTCACCTCTGCTACTGTAACTTCTTCTAATGCGAAACGAATTCTTTTCAAAACTAGCTTAGCTCTTATCTCAGAAAAAATCAGACTTATACGCACAGAACTAGATCAGTTAGACAAGACACTCTACAAATCACACTTATCATTGACGGCAATAATGTCCACATCGGATTGGGAACATGTAGACAATATGACTGCCTCTTCAGCTGCTACTATGTCGACCAAATGTAAGGAAAACCTGATTTCCAAATTTAACCTCCTCTTAAACAAAAGACCGGACCCACACACCAAAAAGTTAGACGTTAATAAAGTCGTAATTAATCGCAGTAACAGTTCTATTTCCGATGGTCTGAAATCCGTTTTAGCTAAAGGTCTAAACTTTGCAGTCACACCTAAACACATACCAGTTAATGATATAATTGCCCAAGTAGACGTTGCTCTCAGGGGCCTGGGTCACATCGCTGCAGACGTAGCAAGATCTGAAATCGCTGCAACCCTAAAAAACGCTAAGATGCCAGCTAGCAACCTCAGCAAAGATGAGCGTTTTGAATTATATAAATTAAAAAAGAGGAATGATATTGTAGTTCTCTCAGCTGACAAAGGCAATGCTACTGTTATCATGGATAAAATAGAATACAACAACAAAATTAAAGAATTACTCGACGATGGTAGTTATACAAAAATAAAAAGAGATCCCACCAACAGCCTCGTCACACAAACCAACAAAATAATTTCTGATTCAACCGCATTAATTGATCAATCTAAACAGTTTTCGTTGAAACCTTCTGCTGCCAGGCCACCAAGATTATACGGCTTACCAAAATACATAAAGTTGATACACCTCTTCGTCCCATAGTTTCTACTATCAGCTCCCCCACCTACAAACTAGCTCGTTTTTTGTCTGAAATCCTGCGTCCTTTCACTGGAAATACCACCTCTGCGGTACAAAATTCTACTCACCTGGTATCAACAATCAAGGGTATTTCCCTGTCCCCAGACGACCTGCTTGTCAGTTTTGATGTAGTTTCCTTATTCACCAAGGTTCCTGTACCTGACACCATTGCAATCATTGAAGACTTGGTTCATCAAGGACTAAACACTGAGGTACCCCCCCTGGTGAGACACTGTTTAACCAATACATACTTCACTTGGAATGGAACTTTCTACAAACAAACTGAGGGCACCCCAATGGGCTCCCCCCTTTCTCCAGTTATAGCTAACATTTTCATGGAGAAATTTGAGACTGACGCCATCCAGACTGCCACTCTGCGCCCAACCTTATGGAAGAGGTACGTGGATGACACTTTTGTCATCTGGCCACATGGCCGGCCTGCTCTAGACCAATTCTTCGACCACATCAATTCCATACACCCAGCCATCAGATTTACCATGGAAGTCGAAATAGATGGCAAGATACCTTTTTTGGATGTCCTAATTAAAAAGAGACCTGATGGTTCAATGAGCCACTCTGTCTGCAGGAAAGCTACCCATACGGATGCTTATCTGAAACCGGATTCCCACCACCATCCATCACAGAAGAATTCTCTCATCAAGACTCTGTATCATAGAGCCCAATGCATATCCGACCAGGAACACATAAGCAGTGAACTCAAGCACGTACACCAAGCTCTTAGGGCTAATGGTTACTCCGACTATACAATCCGCAAAGCTATCACTCAAACCATGAAGAAGAACCCTCTTGAGGAGCCTTTCAAAACCATCACTTTACCCTACATTGCTGGGATCACAAAAAGATCTCCAAAATCTTGAATAAACACAAGATCCAGGTCCGTTTCAACACATTACATAAAATCCGTGATCTGGTTCCGTCTGTAAAAGATGTGATTCCGGACATACAATACCCTGGTGTCTACAAACTAAGTTGCCTCTGTGGTAGTAGTTACATTGGAGAAACCAAACGCCATATCTCGGACCGCATTCGTGAACATAAAGCAGACCTTAAACACGGTAGGACCAACACCTCGGCCGTAGCAGATCATTGTTCTAATTCAGTAGGCTCACATGCCATTGACTTTTCCAAGACGGAGGTTCTTTGTAAGCCATCTGGCTTCCATGAGAGATTCGTTCATGAGGCTATCCACATATACAAACACAGAGACAATTTCAACCGAGAAGATGGATTTTATCTTAGCAATCATTGGAAAGATTTGATAAATCATTTCAGTTCTTGATTGATTGTTCACGCTTACAGTGGCTTTCAGACAGCATACATAAAAACAAATTTCGTCTCCCCCCTCCTCTTTTCAAAAAAATAGATGGACTAGTCCTGGCAAACAGCCAATCGTTGCGCGTGACGCAAACGTTATTTATATATATATAAATAAATAACTATGCCGTTTTCAAAATAAATTTATGCAAACCGACACACCTGATGATGACCGTTTGAGTTATGGTCGAAACGTCGTGAGAAATTTTTTTATTGTTTTATATATATTTTGTTATTTTGTTGTTTCTCTTCAACGTGACTTTACCGAAAAAACTAAGAATATGAATTACTGCAGTCACGAAAGCTTTAAATCAAAATTTAAACCCCTACTAATTGGCTGTGTCGGATGGTGGCGGGTTTAACGACACATTTATATATTTACGTGAACTAACCCAAAAACCCTGTTCAACGTTCTAATTAGTTATTGAACAACGATACATGGATCTTCTCATGGGAAGATCTCGATTGGTCAAACGGCACGTCACGTGTCCCACGGGGGCGTTGACGTTTTGTGAGGGAAAACCGTTAAACGCTGCTGTTTCAAACACAAATAGTGGCCGCCTATTGGTTGAGCTGCTGATCACGTGGGGATGACCGCGAGCAACTTTTCCAGGGGGGCGTGGAATAAAAGGAGGCGTGGTCAATACTCGCGCATGCGCAGTGCGGCAGTAGCCGTGCCGTTCGAACATGTGTGACAATGGCCGAGGTGATGGCAACAGCAACAGCAGGAACAGCGGCAGCAGACGAGACAGAGGAGACAGGGGGAACCGCAGCGGCTCGGCGGCCACACCTACCGCCGTCGATCCTCCTCTCGTCGCGTCGCCGCCGCCGCCGCCAAGTTCACCCATCGCGGCTCCCCGGCTGCCGGAGAGGCCTAACCGAGTCGAAGCCTGCGAACGCTGCCCAGCAGGGCGTGCCTTGGCCGGCGGGGCGCTAGGCGACAATGGTTCGGCGGTCGTACCGGGATCGGGACGACCACACGGACGGGCTCAGGTGATGATGATGGTGGCGGTTGGATGGGATTGGAGGCGAGAGAATTGGCTTTGAGGATGGTGGCGAGGGGATGAATTGGCTTCTTCAAGCGTTCGGGGAACGGTGGTGGTGTGGTTATAACAATACCCATTGTGGTAGTGGTTATAACGCATATTCATTATCACCGGCACGAGTAGCATCGGCGTTATCCTCGTCAACAGCAGCGTCATCAGTATGGTTTCCGTAAAGGAGTCATCAGAGTACAGTACTTGAGTTAGCAGCATAATCATCGTCAACGGAAGCAGCGGTATTATGATGACATCAGCGGCATCCAAACAATCGATCTTTAGTAATCGCCATCATAGCAGCATTAGAATGATAATTATAGCTACCGTCATGAGCACCATCATAATCATAACCATTCGCGACCGTCCGCGTCAATACTCTAGTCATAATTGCCCTATTCTCTGCATTGTAACGCGTTTCGGAAAGGTAACAGAAACATACAAGGCACTTCTCAAACGTGAGGACACGTCATAAAGTTAAGCAAATCTAATAGCCCACTTATGCCTACAGTACTGGATTATAATACTGTACAGGGAAGAACGTGAGTCTTATATTACGGAGAAAATTGTACCGTAATAATCGTTAACGCAATTTGGCGCACTCGCATGATCGTCGACTTGTTATGAACCAAATCCCACTGGTTAAACTGACCGACACGGCTGAGCACACCTTAATCCAGTAGTGGACTGATATGTATGTGAATTGTTTTTTTATAATTATCAACATTGACATTGACGATACAAAAGTGAGTTTTGACGAGTCGGGTGATTGACAGCCGAAGAGGACTTCGTCCGTGGAGATTGAGCGAATAAGATCAGTTTGCGTGCAAGGAGTTTCTGAAATGGGTATGCCCACATTTAGTCGATCAGCGGAGGGGGGTAAAGTATAAGCCCTCGCCTCTTCCAAGCTGTGGCCAGCATGGAAAAGTAGGCCATATACTCTTTAGAAGGGTCTTACGCTCCGTCTGCAGAGGTCCGTCTGCCAGCAGTAGCATGGGCAATACATTCCTAGTCTGCACCATTACAAACGTGCATCTAATTTTGCGTGTGTACCAGAATCGGTGGGTTTTTTCGGTGCGTATACGTTGTATGTTATTGGTTTCACGTCACTTGCGCATCCATTAGAGGCCACTACATTTGGAGTGGAAAAAAAAGAAGTAATTGAATCGAATTGTAATGATGAATCATATCGCTAGTGAATTGATGAGATGGAACCAAAGCTGAACATTGCTCGTGCGCTTGCACACGAGTATGTGCTATACATCTCCATATTATAAGCCACTTTGTTGAGCTATAATTTTTGACCAGGTCGCTAAAAAATAAGCTGATAGCTTAAGGGGCATTTTCCCTGGTAAGATAAAAACAACATTGCTTTATCTGTACGTATTATTTAAGTGATTTGTTTACATTTCCTATACTTTGCCCTCCTATCGTGCTTTTGTATTGTTGTAACGTTCTGACCGGCCCCTACTGCACATCTGTAAAAATGAGTTTTGTAGCTCATCAGATTCCGCCAGTATACACAAATATTCTCATTCTGAGTCTATCTGCCCCCTCCGCCTCTTCCCCTTCACTGGTACAAGGAAAACGAGCGATTGCCCTGCTGGTGCCCGTCGTCCCGCACCTCGCACCAGCGCTCTCCGCTTCAGGAGGAGGGGAACGTGGCTGGAGGAGGAGCGGCAATCGTTTCTCCCGTGTCCCATGTGTCGCCCGTTAAGATGGGAGGCGCTCCAAGGAGAGGGACCCGTCCGCACAGTGGTAAGGACCTTGATTGTCATTGTCAATCTTGGTGTATACATTGCTGCATGTAACAATCCACCCAGCTTCCCAGTACATGAACAGATTTCATCGCTCCTTCTTTGCCGGTGGATGTTCTCCGGGACGTGTTTCACCTGTGCATTTCTTTAAGAATTGAGTCACATGACCTCTGTGATCTGATTGGAAATTGCCATCCCAGGTGCCCACTGCGAGGAGCTGCAATAGGGTAGGTTCATGTTGTGGCAGTAACAATGAGAAATTCTGTGGCATTGCCATTGACAATTGTCCTCAAATTGCCTCCAATGGATTTTGATCTTAAGAACCGCAGAATGGACAGACAAAAAATATGGATATGAACCGGTGAGAGCGTTTAAAAATATTAATGTATTACTAATGTAATGAAAACGTGCTAAACCCCCCATAGAAGGAAGTGTTTAGTCAGTCTATATTATACCGACTTAGGCCAGAAAAGTGGGGCTGGTGAATGCAGAACCCAAGTCCTGGGACCCCCCCCCCCCCTCCCCCATTCATTAACCCACACTGACCAGCTTGGTTAAGTATGGGAAGACAAAATAATCCCACAATCGATATAGTGTCAGGAGGTCGCTTTCCATTGGTGCATTTAGAATGACATTAAAAAATGTAAAACCTTTATGCTGATGATACAGTTATTGTAAGAACCATTGGAAATGCACAAGAGCAAATGATGAATAACTTAATTCAGAGGGTTGCAAATTTGGGATCAAGATACACATGGGCAAAACAGAAGTCGCGTACATCAAGTTCGCTAAACACCAGAGTTTATATTCTTTGGGTCTTTCGGTAAAGTCGCATAGATAGGTACAAATTAATAAAAATAGTAAATATAAAATAAACAAACTACGACGTTTCGATCACAACACAATTTCAGTTTTCAGTTTATTTGGTATAGCCCTGTGAGCCATTCGGCTCTTGAATCGGGTGCAACCACAATAAACAAAAACATGAACAAGAAAATATCTTAAAGTGACTATGTGACTGTGCAAACAGAAAATCCATGAATAAAAAAGGCAAAATATTCCTGAAAAAGCACCATACACCAACGCTGTGTGCAAAAATCCCAGTGGGATGCAAATCCAATAACAACAACCACAAGAAAACTTAGATTAAGGCCATCAGCCTAACTTCGTACTACAACAAAACAAACATGTCCAAACCAAAAAACTTTTCCTAATCACCAAAAAATAAAGCCATAATTGCAATGTAACAGTGATCATAGGGACTGTGACCGAATTTTTTTTATATTAAACTACATAAATAACATGTAACACCAAACCCTAGAGCCATAGCTGGCTCCATGAGTTACTCCACAACAACAGAAGCATCAGTCGGAGTATCAAATTTTCCAATGCACCTTTAAGATCAGCACGCTAAATCAAAATACAGATAATGCTTTGAAGCGTCATCCAGAGCAAAACATTTTATTTTATTTTACGCCAATGAATAGCAGTGGCAGCTAGGGGTGTACAACTCCTCTAGAGCAGTTTTGAGAGAAGATCTCATTGGTAGCGATTCAAGTTGCAGTTTATTGGCAATAGCATTCCAGACCCTGGGGGCATCAATAGCAAAGGCCCTTCCTCCAGTTTTTGTACGGCAATAGGGAATGTGAAGCTGGTAAATGAGCGAAGACCTGAGGTCAAATTTGTTCTTTGAAACAGAGAGGAGATCCAGCATGTAGTCTGTGGATTATTTTTTAAGTACATCGTGAATAAATAAGATCTGGTGCACAAGCCGTCGAACATTAAGAGATGTTAAGTTTGACCCAATGTAGAGATCACAGTGGTGAGTCCTGTATGGGCAGTTCAATGTAAAGCTTAAGGCCGAGTGATAGATGGAATCAAGCTTCTTCAGTACAGTACTTGGGGATGAGTTATACACGATGTCACAGTAGTCAAGTAGAGGCAGTATGGTAGCTTTTATCAATTCCAAACGGAATATTGGGGGGAAACAGTGCTTGTGTCAATACAGAAAACCAATTTTTATTTTTGTCTTTTTCCCAATATAATCAATGTGATCTTCAAAATTCAGTTTTGAATCCAGGATGACCCCAAGATACTTATAAGATCTTGACTTGCTCTATTTGATAATTATTTAAGGAATGTAATTGGGGAAAAATAACTTTCAGCTTTAGTTCTGATGAGAAGCATAGCACCTTGGTTTTGGAGGTATTCAGGACTAATTTAACAGCAACTAGCTGATGTAGTTTGTTGAAATCACCCTGTGGCTTAGCAATCACGTCATCCGGAGAGCGGCCAGCAGTAATCAGTATCGTGTCATCTGCAAAAAGATTTACCCTGGAATGATCCAGGTCAGTGCCCAAGTCATTGACATAAAGAGAGAACAAAAGGGGGCCGAGGATGGAACCCTGTGGAACCCTTTTTGTTATCTTAACACTGTTTGACCTCCAACCATCTGTGAATACAGTTTGGGTGCGAGAAAAGAGGTAATTTTGTAACCAGTTTACTGTGTTTTCTGAAAAACCGAGGTAACTTAGTTTACTAAGCAGGGTGTTGTGGTCTACTGTATCAAAAGCTTTGGACAGGTCAAGAAAAAGACAGGCACAGTACTGCTTATTATCAAGGCTACTGTAAATGTGATTCAGAGAGTCTAACGCAGCAGATGTGGTGCTGTATTTTTTTCGGAATGCAGATTGTTTTAGATGTAGTAGATTGTTGGTGGACAGGAAACTGCTAATTTGGCAGTTCAATAATTTTTCTTAAATTTTCATCAACGGGGACAAAATTGAGATAGGTCGATCGTCATCAAGAGGAAAGAGGGGGAAAGCTGCTGAATGCAGACTTATAGGTTTCAAATGGGTGTAGGCCTCGGGCCATAACCCTGGATCATGACCCTAGGACTACATGACCCAATGACTTACACCCATTTTAAACCTATAAAACAGTCTGCATTCAGCAGCTTTCCTCCTGATGACGATCGCTTGTGTTGTGATCGAAGCGTCGTAGTTTTTTTGTTTATTTTATATTCATTATTTTATTAATTTGTACCTATCTACGTGACTTTACTGAAAGACCCAAAGAACATGAATTCCTGCAGTCACGAAAGCTTTAAGTCAAGTTTTAACCAGAGTTTGTCGGAGGGACAACTGGAAAACACATGTCACTGCATATATACCTATGGCAGTTATTGAAGGTGGTTGTGTGTCGCACTTATGCAGCCTCATATGAGCAACTGGCACAGTGTGTGTACACCAAAACTGAAACTAAACTATTTTTATTTTACCAAGTAAGGCTCACTGAGCTATATAGCCAATTTTTCAAAAGTGACCTGGCCACAAATGATAGCTCACCGAAGTGACTTATTTGGAATTGTATAGCAGCCAAATTCTCTGAACGCATGTTGATTCTAAATCTGGAGGCAAAATCCAGGAGGACCTGGAGAAAAATCCAGATGACCATGGGAGGAACATGTAAACTCCAAATATACAGGAGTCTCAGGGTCAGGATCGAACCCACACTTTCCTGTATACCAGGTGAGGTAGTTAACATCTCGCCACTGTCGCTCTCTCACCACATCGGCATTAATACGTGTTTGCCAACATCACTTGCCCCGACAGTCTGTTTAAAGACGATACGGGGGATGTTTTGTCTTCGTGTCATACCCGTGCAGGTAAGGGCAGCGGCAAGCCGCGGACTGCGCCGCTGCTTGTTTCCTCCACACTGCGGTCACCCCAGGCCTCCGCCTCCGCCACCGCCGTCAAGTCACCTTCTTCGCCAGTGGGGAATGGCCTGCCCTTCACTATCCGGTCTTACACGACAGTGGGGTCGCCAGCCGCTGCTGCTACAGCTACTATTGGCTCGCCAACGATGACGTCGCCGCTTGCTACTGCAGCAGCAGCAGGGAACTCTCTCCCGCGGAATAACGTGGGAGGGAGGCGGAGAAACAGGGCGAAGAGGTAAGGGGGCCCCCGGGGTGCTGCCCTGAGACCTGTGATAATTTACAACGTAAAAGGTAAAGGTTCAGCCCTGAAATTGCTTGCTTGCACCACTGATGAAAGATGGCCCTCCACTAGAGTGTGCTCTAGAGAGCCACTTGAATGATGCTATTTGGTCTACTCTTCCATGTTGGCCTGATATCTTGAAAGAGGTGTATTGATTTAATCAGAATTTGTGTAACTTAATCAGTGTTAGTAGGGTTTCCAAGATGTGACGGGACAGAAGGAAGTGTCATCAGTTTACTGTCTTAGAAGATTGACATGTACACCCCAAATAGAGATCCCCACACCACCACAGAGCCCCACAGACTTCTGCAGAGCCCCCACAGACTTCTGCAGAGCCCCCACAGACTTCTGCAGAGCCCCCACAGACTTCTGCAGAGCCCCCACAGACTTCTGCAGAGCCCCCACAGACTTCTGCAGAGCCCCCACAGACTTCTGCAGAAACCCACAGGGATACTACGCCACTGCTTCCCATGTGCACACCACGCAATTTGCACAGTTCGTAAATGCACATGCGTGTTGGTGTGTGCAAGCAGGCAGGATGCTGTGCTCGCTCACAATCGCAAGGTCACAGACTACTTTCCTGTGCGGCGAAGCCTACGACGGTGCAAGTCCCAGCTGCAGGTGCCTTTCTCTCTCTCCTCCCTATATAGCTCTGTGCGAGTCTGGAGACGTGTGAATCAGTAGAACATGAAAAGTTTGGTTCTCCTCCCTAGTCTGTAGGTATCTTTGGTGATGTATGCGAGTCCCAGTGAATTTGAGCCTTTGGGTCTCTGTTACTCTGGGTCTGTGTGATCCTGTGTCTCTTAGTTTGTGTGTATCATTCAATAAATGAGTAATGTATTTGTCTCTATGTATGTTCAACTTCTTTCAGACCATACATAGCCAACTGTGCTAATCGGAGGTGCAATCTCCGATTGTGTGCCAGCGTCATCGTCAAAATTATCAAAATTTTAAAATAAATAAACTTGCAAATCTATTTTTATTATACATATCAGACATTGACTTAAAGCTTTCGTGACTGCAGAAATTAATATTCTTTTGGTCTTTCGGTAAAGCCACGTAGAATATCACAAATGATATTTTTATTTTTTATTATTGTTTTTCTATTTCCGTGGCTTTACCGAAATACCCAAAATATATCGACCACCTCCTGCAAAAAACTTGGCAGGACTCTCCTGAAAAATAGTTTGGAGACTGGGCAAGTCCTTCGTGGGTAATGGGCATAATAAATAGATATGGATCATGGGTCAGGTGTGGTTCATATATGACTTTTAAACCAAGTGCATGGCTCTTGAACGGGGACCGCTTTACTTTTGACACAAGATGGGATGGTATATTTTGTGTTATCGGTCTCATGTGTTCGTTTCCTCTCATTTGTATTGCCCGTGTTTGCTTGTTCTTGTGCTCTCTAATTTGTATTGTCTCATTTTTTTTCTTGTATCGCCTGCCTCATCTATTCTGCCTCATTTATACATTTAAATTGTTTTGTTTTTACCATTTTTTTCCATTTATTTAATCAAGTTTGCATTGTCTATCCCTTAAGCTCTGTCTCGTTTGTAGTGTCTGTTTGATCTGCATCATTCATTTCATTGCGTTTGTAATTTTGCAGACGGAGGAGCAAAATCAAATTGACGACGCGATTCTGTGTGGAAAAGAGGAAGGCCTGGAGGTGAGTGCCGACTTAAGAGTACTTGTTCCAACAGCCTCGATGGCTATATCGGGAATCTTTGTCATTGTTTGTGCATGCTTGTGTATACGTGCATCTGTGTGTCTGTTTGGGTGGGGAGTGGTAATGTTGTGTTTATCAGGCTGCGCTACGAACCTGCGACCCAAGTTCGATTACTGCTCATGGCCTACACCAGTGACAAATATCTGAACGAGTCCTGGGCCTCCCCTCGGTTGACTCGACCTCCAATGAGTACCTGGTGTGATGTGTATACCGCCATTCGGGACGCAAAGGCTGCTGGGCATGGTGCTGGCCACCCACCCCCTTGCGGGCTATGCAGGCTTTGCCCCAAAAGTCTCTTAAGGCTGTATGGGGGATCTTTGTCTTTGGGGGGAATCTTGTTTTTATTTTTCCACTGATAAAACGCGGCAAACGATTGCAGACCCTTCTGAATATGACACACATTGCTGCATATTTGCGGCAAACTAACTGACGTTACTTGCAATTAATGCATAGATAGCCCCTCGCTCTGGCGCTGCATGGCCCCTAAGCAGATTCAGATGAGGTCAGTGAATCAGTTTGGTTCCGGCTCTGTAAATGGCCAATGGAAAACCACCTGTAATGTGAGGGGGGCCCCCCTTTACCCCCCTTCCCACCACGCTGTCTCTGCTACGATGGTGCCAGTGGAAAACGGTTATCTGTCTCTGCGTGCGTGATCAGGTGCGGGAGGTGCTGGGTAAGGGCCGTGGCGTTTTCGCCACCCGCTCGTTTGGACGGGGAGACTTTGTGGTCGAGTACTCGGGGGAACTCATCGGGCTGACTGAAGCAAAGACGCGTGAAGTGAACTATGCCCGGGACCCCGATAAGGGCTGCTACATGTATTACTTCTGCTACCTCAACAAGACCTACTGGTGAGTGCGGAGTGCGTGGGGTCCCAGTTATTGCTTGGGGCGTGCCCTTTAATTGTTCAACATCTCGCCGCGCCTGGTATACAGGAGATTGTGGGTTCTATCCCTACCCTGACGATGCCTGTATATTTGGAGTTTGCATGTTTCTTTCCCTGTGGTCGTGAGGAGTTTCTCCGGGTCCTCCTGTTTTTCCCTCCACATTTAGAATCCAACTTGCGTTTAGAGTATTTGGCTGTTATAAATTCCCACACGATCATAAGCCACTTTGTTGAGCTATCACATGTGGCCAGGTCGCTTCTGAAAAAGCTATATAGCTCAGTGGACCTTACCGGGTGAAATAAAAATAGTTCATAGTTTTGAGATGAGATGTGGCGGAAGGCACTTGGAGTTGCGGAGGCAGTTACGCAAGTCCCGTAGGAATGCAAAGCTCGTCATTATTGTTTGTAACTTGTCGTTAGTGTCGACGCCACAGCCGAGTCTGGCCGCCTGGGCCGCCTCTTGAACCACAGCAAGATGGGCAACTGCAGGACCAAGCTACACCTGGTTTGCTGCGGGGAGGGGGGCAGCCCGGAGAGGGGTCGCGGCGGCGTGCCCCGCCTCATCCTGGTGGCGGCGCGGAACATCGGCCTGGGCGAGGAGCTCATGTACGACTATGGCGATCGCAGCCGCGAGGCGCTCAACGCTCACCCCTGGCTGAAGAGCTAGCGGGGTGGGGGATGTGATTGGATGGATGGGAGGGGAAGAGTGAACGGGTGAGTGACAGGGTTTGTGGATGGATGAGTGTGAGCAAGTGAGTGAATGCTCAGTGCTCGCCTGTGGTTAAAGAGCTAGTGGTGGGGGGGTGTGGGAGGGGGAGAGTGAGCGAGTGAGTGACTGGCGAGTGAGTGTGCAACGCTCGCTTTTGGTTGAAGACCTAGCGGCGGGAAGTTAGTGGGTTGGTGGGTGGATTCGAGGGAGAGTGAACAGGTGAGTCAGTGGTGAGTCAGCGCCTTGCATACAGGAGGTCATGGGTTTGATCCCACAACCTCAGGGCTCACCCTTGGCTCAAGAGCTCGCAGGGGGAGAGTGGGTAGTTGATTGGACAGGTGACTGGGTAACAGTGGGTGGATAAGTGAATGGGTGCGTGTGGTAGGGGTGGATGAGTGGGTTGTGTGGATGAGTAGGTAAGTGGGTGGGTGGGTAGATGGATTAGTGAGTTGGTGGATGAGTGATTGGGTCAGTAAGTAGTGGGGCAAGTGAGAGTGAGCATGTAAATCAGTTGAAGTGAGCAAGGGAGCAATAGGGTAAATGGGAGTGGCCACAAGTGAGGGCAATTCATGCTCACCCTTGTCTCATGGACTAGCAGGTGTGTGGAAGGGTGGGTTCGTGGGCGAGGCCAGTGAATGGATGATTGAGTGTAAGTGTACGTTTCTGTGGATATTAAACGCACAATGAATTTACATGAAAAAAACTTGCTGTTGAACATAACACATCTCACACGAACAACACACACAGTGCACACCACGGTCGCATATGCATTGTTGGCAAGATACACAGTCAACTACACATCACATGTGTACTTCGCAACAGCAGCAACAGATGCCATTCTTCACGAAAGGACGGCGACATCTCCACGGTGCTTGTGCCATGCTATGTGCACATTGAGGCTATCACGTGTAGTGTCGAAAACTTGCTGGCAGGAGGTTATGTAGGGGTTGACTGAGATGACTGGCAGATGTTACCACCTGTCCACACTATACCATGAAGACCAAGATCTCCCGTTTCGCCTTAGCAGACTGTTGGGGCAAGTGATATTTACAACACCTATTAAGGCCAGAACAGCACACCAGGGGGTGGGTTGCTAACACCACTCGGCCACCTTCCTCTCCTCGGTGCTGATCTTTACACATTGCACAAGGCAATCGTACAAAGGCTGAGTCGATCTAGGGTAGTCCCATGACCGGTTCAGATGTTCGTCATTGATCTTTGATTAGCACGGTCTCGCGTATGGTGTGAAAGACGTTCAACATACATGTTGGCTGTGAGCAGGAAACGAACATAGGTCTCCGGGTTGGGATCACGGCGTGCTAATCACTGCGCCACCACTCTACTAGGCCGCACCTGCACACACGTTGACCCCATCACACTCGGATGTGTCTTAACAGCAGATGTGCTCAGCTGTGAGTGACGGGCACGTTTGCGTGATTCTGACTCCCCCCCCCCCCCAGCCTCTGGGTCACTTGAAGATTGCGACGCAATATTGTTTAATAAACGCGATGATGCCCGGGTTGCACGGACGGCCAAACTCAAGTCGACTCGAGTTGGTTACGAAAAATTGTAGCATAAATGGTCACTGATCGGTCACCAATGTTTGTGCAACAAACCGCTACATAAATTTGGTCCGGCACTCGTATTAATATACAGTATACACATTACTGGACATCTGTGAAAAAAGCTTCATAGCTCATTAGATTCCTCCAGTCTAATAGAGATTCTTATTGTATCAGTTTCACTGTCAGGCGAATCATGCACTCTTCTACGGATTGAGTGGGAAAGGTGCTGTCTGGTGTTGGCCACTGGGGAAACAAAGGTGGCTGGGCGTGTCGTTAGCCATACCGCCTAAAGTGCCATACGATCCTTACTAGGTGCTCGCTAGCAGCGCTCGTTACAACAGTTTATGGCTATAACGAAGGTTTTTGTGTACTCTGCGTGGACTGGATGCCGCTTGAAGGGATCTCGGAGGTAGTTCTCAACACGAAGGGATGCTCTGCGAGTAATCCCCAATGGGATTCTTCGTCTCATTACATGCCATTTAGCACAATGGATGTACAATTATGGGGAAAATTGCGCTCTTAAAAGTGACATTTCCATGAATTTCCACGTTTTGAAGGCGTTATCATATGAATTGGGGATGCATTTATGCTCGGGCTCCAACAGCCTTGATTCTGAGGTTTTGGGAATTCGGGGCAGCCCATGAAGCGATATTGGTACTGACAATTTGTACCCAGGTCCGAAGTGGCAGCCCAGCTCGATTTGACAAGAACGGGCACGGAAACTCCGTAGCTGGATGGCGGCAGCTTGTGTCTTGAGGAAACGTGGTTTCCAAGTAGAAGGTCCAAAAATTGTCTTGCATATGGCTGGGGGGTCGGGAGTTCACAATATACCCCTTAGCCCCCATTCTCACAACCCCTTCAAGCAAGGGGGGTTGGGGGCTGCAGGGGGTGGGGAGGTGCTTTTTCTCTGAACTCCCAAGGGTAGTGGAATCGGTAGTTTTGCTTATCGCTTCATTTTCTCGAACGTACATTTATACCGACAAGGTATTTTCCACTGCACGATCCGAGCCACGCCGGAGTTGTATCGAGTCAGCCTGGCTGGTGTGACTGGTTCCCCTCCCCCCCCCACTGCATAAAATGCTATCCGTGCCGATGACGCCACACGCAGTGGAGTCGAGGTGCGTGCGGGTTTATGACGCGTCGATGTTGCATGCAACGAACGCGGCATGAGCCCCTGTTCCTGCTTGGCCGACAGCCAGATGTTGTCTTGACGGATAATCACGGTTTGGTTTCCAGCTCGGCTTTGGGGAAACAGTGGAAAATAACCTGAACCAGGCTCTGCTCGGACGTGTTGGTGGAAAGTGGCTGTGTTTGCTAACGTTCCAGTTTCAACTACCTGAACTCTGCGATAAGTTATGGGATTTTGCGTTTTTGAAGCCACCACGTTTTTCTTACGATTTCTAAAGTTTGCGATTTTTAAAGCTTGCGATCAGGTGTGAATGTTGCAGCAATGTTTTTAAACCCTCTGGTGGCTGCAGGGGTAGGGGGAATTTTCTACAGACAAACGTATAAGAGTGCAGCCCTCTGTCAATCCACTGCTCGATGAAAGCGTCTCTATTCCGCATAATTCAAGTGGTAATTTGGTCATATCTCTCCATGCTGGTCCGTGCTTTTAGTAAAGGGGGTTGGTGAGGACAGAACCGCCAATTAAAATATAACTCCGCCAATGGTAGCCGTGATTGTGAATCTAAACCCAGGTGCCCAGGTTGGTGGTGCGGTGCGCTGCGCTACACCACCACTCTGCCCATTGACAGTTTGTGAATGATTGCGATGTCACTATCGTGCTGTCGCAGTCTAAATGGTTGACACACCAGACTTGCAATCCAGAGGCGGATGGTTTGATTCGATCTCCCGGTGCAGCAGTTGAAATAATTGTGAATGTATTCTAAATAAATCCCCCCCAACCTTATCTGTGCTGTCCGCCCAGTAGTATAAGTGGGTACACCACAGTCAAATCAGTAGGTGTCCTGTGTGGTGGGGTAAATTGTGGGTACAGTTATCTCTTCGAAGACGTCTGGCCAACGTGTAGGGTAGGCGGAGCTCCCTCTCGCGAAGGCTTCTGCCAGCAGTGTTGTGAGCAAGTACTTTTAGGGCTGCATCTTTTATTATAGTCTTGGTAATTATAATATTCGATAATCATGCGTGGTTTTGGTCGTACGTGTGAGTCCAGACCATCGGTGTACCCACGACACTTGCCAGGAAGTTCGTTTGTTTGATCTAAATGAAGATTTAACTTCCCAAACGTGCTTTGATTACATATAATACTCTTTCAGCGTCGTTGTGGCGATGAATGAATTACTAAAATTACCCTAACTTTCTCATTGCTCTTCAAGTAAACAAATAAACGTGTTTCGTAAACAACCCGACCGGCTGCACAGCATTCATTAGATCAGCAGCGTTGGTTCATTCCAAGCAAACTCTGATAGTGTTTGCGACTGAACATATGGCAGTTTACCAGCGTTCCAGCAAGCCTCACTGCTGGTGAGATGCTGCAATGTTGAAACCGGCCCAGAGTTTGCTTGTATTGAACCAATGCTGCTGATACGATGTACTCCCGGAAGGCCGTGTGGCCGACGGGGTGTGTAAAAGTTGTTTTTTGTCACGTGGAGAGACTGATGTGGGGGAAAAGGCGTATTTTATTTTGAGACGTATTTTAAAGCGTTGTTACAGAATCGATTGCAGATTCCAAAGGTTTATGATGATCGGATGATTGAATACGCTTTAGCCTTCAGTTAACATTGGAGGTGATTGTTGGGCGAACTTTGGGTCCCCGCAGTCAGTTCCGAAGCGCTTGGTTGACTGTGTGCTCTCTTGTCTTATTAATAAGACAAATACAACCATGATATGAAATGTATTATCCGAAACCAATATGCGGCTTCGAGAGTATGATGTTACCTATGTTATGTCACTTTTGTGCTAAACAATTACGTGGAAATTCTAAAGGATCCGACATTTTAAAATGGAACAAATCGGATTTCCACAATGTGCTATCCATAACTCATTCCGATTACATAATAAATGTTAAACAACTTCCTCTCAATCCACTGCTGGATAAAGGCCTTACCCTCACTGCGTGTCGGTCCTCTTGGGGCTTGTTTGACCATACTTCACAATGATCACTTGGTTGGTGATGGTTGGTAAACCGATAATCAAGTTTTGGGATGTATCAGTCATGCTATCAATGTACAAAAACGGATATTAGCAATCCTATTTGTATTTCACATAACCTGGTTAACAACTTGATGCATTGTTTTGTTGGATTCTGCCATGGTGTAATGGCTCGTGTGCTAACTTGCAATTCAGAGGTCACTGGTTCGATCTTCAGGCGCGGCGGCAGAAACAATGGGGCAGTTTCTGAAATGGCCCCCACTGCCTCTGTCCACCATGTGATATAAAGGCATACTCCACAGATGTATGTATGTATGAATGGGGAGCGGAAGTGTAGCGGTTAGCGCGCTACGCTCCGAACCTGGCGACCCGAGTTTGATTGCTGCTCACGGCCACCGCCAGTGACGATCATCTGAACCGGTTTTGGGCTTCCCCTAGGTCGACTTTGCGTCAAATGAGTACCTAATGTGGCGTGTAAACAGCGTCACTGGGGAGACAAAGGTGGACGAGCGTGGTGCTGGCCATCCACCCTTCATAGGTGCTCGTTAACAGCACTTGCCCCAACAGTCCGTTAAGGCTATACGGTATCTTTTTATGTATGTTGAACTTCTTTCGCACCGTACGTAGCCAACCATGCCAATCAGATAGTCATGTGGTGGGATAAAGCGTGAGTACTCGGATTTCTTCCAAGACGTCTGGCCAGTGTGGAAGAGTAGGCCAATATAGAACCTTCTAGAGGAGGTTCTCTGGTGTCTTCTCGTGGGGGCCCTTCTGCCAGCATTTGTGTGACCAAGCAAATGCAGGACTGTGGCTTTACCTACATTGAAAACTCATTTCTAAATAGAAAACGTATTTCTTTAACTGCTTTTTTTAAATGTATTGTCCTTCCGCACCTCCGATTAGCACGGTTGGCTACGTACGGTGCGAAAGAAGTCCACACATACATGTTTATCAGTAATTTGTATTATTACAACATAGATGCGACATTTAAAACAATTGCAAGCTAGTTCTTGAAAGCTGGGTTTCTTTAATGCTATTTCGTCTACGTGATGCAGTACAGCCTCGCATTTCTGATTCGTGGGCATTGAGGTATCGGCCGATATGTGAAAGGGTCTTATATGTGAACATCCATACGAAATGACAGTTGCACCGTGCGCGAATAGGCTACTGTGATAAAATAAAACGCAACCTATTTTAAACGTGGAAAATTAATTCGCTGTTGTTTAGCAGGACGCGAATGTATGCGAGATTAAGAATATATACACATAACTGCGTGTGAAGAGGTCTGGTATCTTAACATCTATTGACAATAAAACACTGCACTGGGTGTGTGCGGTTAATTGGTCGTCGGATATGCGACGTTGTACTACATATACACACGAGGTGATTATTTATGCTTTGGAATTCCACATGCTTTTGGTGAGTTTATTCAAAGGACAGAGAACACCAGTTTTCGCAAAGTAGTGCCACGCATTTTATTGACCTTCGAAGGGACGATGATGGTGCCTTGATTTGATCACTGACCAGCAGTTGAACTCGCTACCCGAGTGTGCGGTCAATCGCTTTCGCAACTGGTGGTGGTGGTGGGGGCAGGGATAAGTCAGAGGTCAGGGTTAGACTTCAACTGTGCCAGGATTTTCAAAACTCACAACAAACCTTAGCGTTTCGCTCATTACACCACGTTACACGTGCGTGATCATTGGTAAACAAATCCCAAGTGATGTAGAGTGCCGCGGATGCAAAGTGGAGATCGAGGTTGCGTGCGTGAGATCTTGTGTCCCACGTGTAGAGAATTCCGATTCACATAAAAATAGAGATTTTGTGTGTGTGTACATGTCCCACAGTGCATAGCTCTTATTATTAGTATCACGCTTGTTTACCCAGGAAGGCCTCTCGTGACTCTTGTTCAGGAGGGTCCTGCCAAGTTTTCGCAGTAGGAGAGGGGAGATGATTGCTTATGTATAATCCTAATTGAGTAATTTGCGGTCTTATTTTGTCGTTGCAAATTTGGACTGACGTCAGCACACAATGGCTGGTCGACACTTGCGAGTGACGTCACGGAGTCGTTAACGCGCACGGTGAAGCGGACGGCGCTTATATTATTTTTTATTACACGCAATAACAATCACCAGGGCGTCCGCTGGATTGCAACTGTGAACCTATGCAACAGGCGACTGAACGCGCTATCTCGACGCCACGTCACCACCACCAGCTCTTGATTTAAACTTAGAAACCTTGTGCACGCATTGCGTGGTCTCCACATGACGTTCAGAGGTCGACAACTGAATTTAAATCGGCGCGCTCTGCGCCACGCGTGTTAGCCCGTAACTTTGCATTATAACGGGGAAGATTTGGTACGCCTGAAGAACGGTGGCGCTGTCCTGCTGCTGTTGGTGACGCGCGGACTGGATTTAGGGACAAAACCCCCTGCACTGACGGCATCGTCACAACCGTGGGGAGTCGCGGCTTCATTATGGCCGCTCTGCTCATGTATTCATTGGTGCTCTGGCCCACATTTGCCTGCTGAGGTTGAGTAACTTGTGACTAAATGATCACAGCGCGTGTCTGTCCGTCTGCCTGTGCTTAAGAGGCCAGATGGGATCGAGATACGAAGCTGGGTGTTTCCGCACGTTTGATAATAAATGTGGTCTTTGATATTTTTAAGTGGCTGGTGAGATTTTGTTCGTTAGTTTTGTTTGAGCATTTTTTTTTATCCCTCCCCCCTCCCAGATTGTGCCATCAATTATTAGTTTGGGGGGGGGGGGGGAAAGATGCCGATATTACGGGACCAGCGGATAGTGCATTGTGGATGAATCGAGCTACCCGAGTTCGAGTCCCAGCCACAAATAACAACACCATGCAGTGGGCGAGGGATATCTCAACCGGTTTGAGGGCATCCACCCCCTCGACCCTTCAATCGGCACATTGACGAGCGTGGTGAAGTATGGTCACAAACCCCTATGATTGACGTGGTGCTGAAAGGCCCTCATCCAGCAGTGGATCGACACGAGCTGTAAGCTATCGACTATATCTGGGATCATTTGCCTCCTTTTCATAGTTGAATCCCAATTCACCCTTTTCTGTTTGAATAATTGTTAAAAACACTGAAAACTCTTGGTAGTTTTAGTAGTTTATTAATATGTAGCCATGAAGCATGTGGTATGACGGTTAGCACACTGGACTTGCAACCCAGAGGTCACCGGTTCGATTTGTGGCGCGGTGGTTGAAACGATGGTTCAAGTTTATGAAATCCCCTCCCACCCACTCGCCTCTGTCCCACCCATTATTTCACCCAGCAGTCTAACTCAATGGGTAAACCGCAGTCGATCGGCAAGTCACGTGTGGTGGGGTAAAGTGTACCCCCACATCTACTAAGACGCCTGGCCAAAGACCCTCTATAGTCGACAGGTCCTTCTGCAAGCAGTGCCATAAGCAAGGAATTGCAGGGCTGCACCGTTGCCTTCGAATTACATCCAGCCAGAGCGCTTCACGTGGAAGAATACGAATCTTGATTTAAAGTTTTCGTGACTGCAGGAATCCATACTCTTTGGTTCTTTCGGTAAAGTCACATAGGTAGAGCAAATAAAATAAATATATTACGACCTTTCGATCGCAACACAAGCGGTCGTCTTCAGGCAGAAAAAAAATTATCCAGCAGCGGAACTGCTGAACCAGGAAGAAACAGAGCTTGTGTTGCGATCGAAACGTCGTGATATATATTTTTTTATTTAAAGCTTTCGTGACTGCAGGGATTCATATTCTTGGTTCTTTCGGTGAAGTCACGTAGAAGGGAAACAATAAAATTCTCACGACGTTTCGACTGCAACACAAGCAATCATCATCAGGTGTGAAAACCACAGCAAGAAAATTAAAAAAGTGGCGTTTTTTTATTGTTTCGCTTCTACGTGACTTTACCGAAAGAACCAATAATATATATTTTTTATTACATTTTTATACCGATGTGACTTTACCGAAAGAACCAAAGAGGATAATCATAATCTTATTTATCCTTAAACAATCTGACGAGCTATGGAACAATCATTGGAAGGATGTTATTCACCAAGTTAAACCCTAGCTGCCTTAACCGTTTATATTCATATCCACATCACCAGTCTTTTACTCCCAGCCTTGCACATCACTAGGAAATTTGAGATACAGCTTTCCAATCGTGTAGTAGTTTTGTCCGATTCCACTCTCCCCCGCTTCCCCCCCACCTGTGGGACTTCAGCTGTATCCCCAGCTTTGGGAATTACTCCCCCAGCCCACACCCCGCCCCCATACCCACCCTGCCCTCTTCCCCCCCACCCACCCTCCTCAGCCATCTCTTTGACATATCTCAGCAACTGCCTTCGCTGTGTTTGTCCCCACCTGATGACGGACGCTTGTGTTGCGCCCGAAACGTCGTGATTTAATTAAGTTTTTATTTTATTTTTTACCTACGTGACTTTACCGAATAAAACCAAAGAGTAGGTTTTACTTAACTTGATTCCTCTGTTTGTCGTGGTCAAATATTGTAATCAAAATTTCGTCCAGTTCCCGTTGTCCAATCAATTCCACATTTTGCACACGTACTCAGATCCGGTGACAATGCATGCCTGTATCAAAATCAATTAATTCGCTACTTTAAAGCAATTTACATTTTGTATGGACACATTTATATATGTGTAGGTCAAAAATGCCGCGGTCCCTAAACTGTGGAATCGGCTCGCACAAAAAGCAGGCGCCGCGTGTCTCAGGCGCCACTGACGTACTTCTCGACCGTGAGTTAAACGAAGCTGTTAATAAAACCGTTGTTTTATAGCAGTCTATCGAACGAGTCTCACGTTTTTGTTACGGGGTTTGAGTACACCTTAAAGTCTACGCACAGAAATGTGCAAACGTGCACACATGACAACACGCGTGCTGTAACACCCACACGCGTGCTAAGCGCACTGATGCACAGCATAACGCTACATTGTTTTAGATTAGCACGGTTGGCTACGTACCGTGCGAAAGAAGTCCAACATACAGATTAACAAGGAAAACATCATGTGTGCGTGGAGTCTCACGCTTCCCCACGTGCGTTTGGACTAATTTCTTTTTAGAAATATACTGTTTCCTTGGGGTAACTACTGAAAAACAATGCTATTTACTAATAGTCGTAGGAAAACGTTCCAAAAACATTGTTGCTAATTATGGTAAGTGTGGTGTTGGTGAGCTGTGTGGTTAGTTTAGCGTTCCTATTGGTGAACTGGCGGTGGTTGAGTCTCAGCGATTGGCTTTAGGAGTATGGTGAATTGATGATGACTGGTGGATGCTGACAAAGAGTGACTGACGATAGTTGTTTTATTCCAACATAATGACAGCAATCTCTGCATGATCCACCAACCATTTTCTCTATGCTCACCCATACCCCCCCCCCCCCCAACTACTCTAAAACCTCTTCACACCCTCCACACTTTTCTACTCAATGCGGTCCTCTCCGCGACCTCTCGAGAACCTATCTGTCCATTCTGACCCCACATTGACCCCGCCACAGTCTGGCCGATCGAGCAAACTGACCCCAATGGACCCCGCAAACCCCTGCCGCGCTGCGTAGTGCAACCCTGCCCCGTATCGCCACACGTCTTCGTCCGGCGCCGCGAGCCTCGTGTCAATTGCCGGCAGCGTGCTCTGCGCCACGTCCTGCTCCTTGGATGACCACGCGAATTCCATGCTGGCTTCGGCGCACGGGCCCCGCTCCACGTGGCCATCTGACCAGGAAGGTGGCAGCTCGAGTCCCTGTATGGACGGGAAGCTGCAGACGGTGGGCGGCGGCTCCTTCCAGCGGCCCTCGTGTGCGCGCAGATGGCCCGTGTCCGGCTCGATCGGGGTCTGGTGGACTTTGAGGGCGAGGTGTCTGCCCCTCTCGAAGAAGGCCACTCCCGTAAGGACGCAGCCCGGGTCGACTCTCACATCCTGGAGGTCGATGGTCGCCCTCCTTTGCTCGCGAGAGACGGAATAAGTTTGCGCCAAGGTCGCTTCGGTTCCATTCCATTGTGTGTGCTCGTTCGCATCGTTGGATCGGCTCCTGGTTTCAAAATTAGTTCCATGACTGCCAGTTGCCCGTCTCCATCGCGGCTCTGAAGGTTCAGCATGTCCGAAGGGTCGAGCTCGGCCCTGCCTGACCTCCAGCCGGACTCGTGTTCTGCTTCCTCGCTCATCCATCAAGGTGGAGGCCTGCATGGCTACCCCGGTCACCACCATCCCTCGTTCTGTGTCGCTTCGCACCTCCCCAAGGTCGAATTCAGCCGTATTCCTCCACGGATCCTCGCAGATGCAGAAGCAGGGACGGCATCGCCAGAACCACCTCGTGTAGGCATAGTCACCGGCAAAGCTGCCACCGCCACTCACTTCTTCCCACGTAGGTAGCCGCGCCGTCTTCTGACCCCACCTCTCGGCCACAGACTCCTTTGGACCCCAGATGTTCCCCATGGCCAGTATTCGCCGCCAGTCCCCACTGGGGGCCAGGTTGAGACCAACGTAGTCCCAGGAATCCTGGCACTCCAGCAGAATGCCTTCGCAGTGTCGTGCGCGTGGCTGGGCAGGGGGTAGCACTTGACTGTGCGAAGTCTCGCACGTGGCCATGCAAGAGCCATCTCCGAGCCGTGCCTCGTTCAACTGGATGCCTTGGAAGACTGTGAACAGCGTGTGTGTCTTACCACTATCTCCATTACCGCTACTATCACCACCACCGTCACCGCACGCAAGGACCCGGTCATCTGCCGAGCGGGCGGCGCTGCGCAGGGCCATCTCCTGCTGAGCAGTGTTTCCCTCGAACAGCTCGAGCTTTCTCAACATTTCCGCCGTAAAGTTGGTCGCCGAAGCCGCCCCCGCGAGGTTGTAGGCCGCCATGAGTGCCTCGAGTGCCTGCAGGCGGGCACCCTGGACAAGCACATGCAGGGAGGCCACGGCACCCAGCCGCGACGTCCCCGCGTAACACAGGATCCCCTCGTTTCCACGCGCCGCGAGGGAGTGCGTGTACGCCGTGTACAGCGCACGGCCGCCGGCATCGCCGCCGCCGCCGGCATCGCTGTCCAGAATGAGCGCGTTGAGATCCAGAAGGACCGCGAAGATGCCCGACGTGGGGTCGATCGCGTTGGCTGCCCAGGTCTCGGCGGAGCGGGGGTGCAGGGCGCCACCGGCACCCTGCAGCTCCGCGAGAGGATGGTGGAACACACGAAGGCGGGAGAGCAGAGAGCGCAGCGTGGCGCGCACGTGGAGCCACTCCCCGCGTGCCTCCATGCGCTCGAGCAGCGATGGCAGGGACAGCAGGGATTGCCGTATGGAGCCTGTCGACAATCAACGCGAGGCCGTTATAAACGCAAAGTGTGAGGTTTGTACTCCATCATGTGGACGATATAGCATCAAGGAAACCCACCTTTCAAGAACTAGCTTGCAATTGTTTTCAACATCACGTCTATGTTGTAATCATACAAATTACTGATAAACAGGTATGTATGATCAACTTCTTTCGCACTGTACAGCGCCAACCATGCTAATCGGAGGTGGCGGGGGAGAACAAACTAAACACAAAAACTGTTCTAAAGAAATTAGTTTTCAATCTATAAATTAGTTTTCAATTTAGGTAAAGGTGCGGCCCTGCAATTCCTTGCTAATGCCACTGCTGCTGCAAGGGTCTCATCCACTCGAGGTAAAGCTCCTTTGGAATAGATGGTAGTACCAGCACTTCACCCTAACCACATAGGACCTGCCATCGAGGACAGAGGCAACCGGCATGGTTGGCTATTTACGGTGCAAAAAAGTTCAACATACAACAAAATTAATTCTCAAACATCGCGCCAGGAGATATAATCTATCCAGCGACCTCCTGATTACAAGTCCAGCGTGCCAACCATTACACTGACAGCATCACCACAAATTTTTGATTTAAAGCTTTCGTGACTGCAGTAATTCATATTCTTAGCTCTTTCGGTAAAGTCACGTTGAATTTTGTGACCTCGGAACATCTATTAGTCTCTCTATACGATGTAGGCATGCCTGAAGTGGTGCAGGAAAATGAGTGTTTAGTGGGTTCAATATCTCTTTATTTAGAACTTTTTGGTGGTATTTGAAATATAATTTAGTGCAGGAAATAAGTATTTAAGTATAAAATGAGCAACCGTGGACCGTGTATATCATATGGTAGCGTCAACATATCGCGGCAGCCCTAATTTATACAGATATCTCTATGAAGAAAGGTACTGGTGAGAAACGATGTACGCACACACAAGGAGATGGAGAGACAAATAATTGAGGGTATGCCGCCACGTTCTGTATCATTAATGCATACTGCATCGTACCGTTCAGCCGCGCAGCTAAGAAAGTAGTTCTTCGTCTACTACTCAGAAACTGCGTTATAATGGTGCGCATTCCACATTGTGCGAAAAACGTTCCCTAATGGAAGAACCACATGTAGTGAAAACGCGTGTGAACACACGTTAAGCGAGGACTCACCTACTGTATATAGTATGAGACCATATTTGTAGAACTTTATTGACCCACCGAGTATCCGTTTATGGATGCGTCTTTGCTTTTTGGCACGTCTTATTAATCTGGTGAACACGATGAATGATGTCACACGTACCTGCGGAACCTCTCATCTCGTGTGCGAAATTGCGCCATTCCTGCTGCCACCGGTCAGCCCGCGGGTCTTCGTACGCGAACTTGATGGCGTAGCCAACGACCGTCCTCGCCAGCCCGAGAATGTCGAATTTAAACGGCCACACCTGGCGTTTGGATCGACCGAAGTGAGCCAAGTCACGTGGCATCGGGGAAACGAAGGAAGATGAGGAGGGAGAGGAGGAAGAGGTGAGTGAGCGGGGAGGATGAGATAACACGGATGCGTGGAATGCGATGAAGATGATGAAGATGATTTTGTAGATGAACACAGAAGGTAGAATCGGAATAGAGGAGTAAGCCATTGTGAACAAACTGGACTGCACGGTTGTTAGGCAATGTGTGCGTCGTAATGTTCTCAACAATACAGAATAATAATAAAATAAAACAAATGTATGGCAGCCAGACTGTGGTTAAATATTAATAAAGAAAAATAATAACTGTTCTTGCGACACAGATACACAAAATACAGGCAGCCCTGCAACATCTGGCTCACGCCACTGTTGGCAGAAAGGCCTCCACTAGCGAGAGCTATAGAGGACCCCTCAAATCTTGGAAGTAGTAAATACCCACACACTTTTACCCCACCACCTGCTGCCAGTCGACTTACTCGTGTCGCCATTTATGTATTCTATTAGTCCATGGGCCAGAGTGGAAATTGGTACCGAATAAGGTAGCAATTGTTTGGTACCAAATACGGTAGGGAAAGATCCCCCATATCGTCTTAAACAGGCTGTTGAGGCAAGTAATATAAGTGAGCACCTATGAGGGCCGGCACGGCACGGCACGCGAGGGGATGGTGTGGCCAGCACAAGTTCATATATTCTTCACTGATATTAGCCGTTGAATGGGAATCGAACTTAGGTCGCAGGGTTTGTTGTCCAGTGTGCTAACCACTGCACCACCGTTCCCCAGATGGCACGCACAAAGACAAAGACATGTTCAAAATTTAACTTTTTTGCTGCTAAACATTTTATCTGAGCCCACACAACACGTGTGCAGATCACATCTGCACAGCTCCAAAACCGTAAAAAGCAGAACTTCCCAAATTACCCCATAGATTAAAAAAATATATAAAAAACATAACTAGAGAGTGGGGGTAGCGGTGGCGCAGTGGTTTACGCACTTGACTATGAACCAGGCTAGATGAGTTTGATTCCCGGTCATGATCTAAGTCATTGGCGAGCGAACTATATCTGAACCGGTCCTTCACTCTTTACCAGCATGGTGAGGTATGGTCAAACAAACACCCCTTCCTCAATTTCCAACATGGCATGGGGAGGCCTTCATCCAACAGTCGATTGGAAATGGGCTGTGAGTTATTACTATTATTGAGAGATGCATGCTTGTGTAGTGTGTGACATACAAGGAGGCGCACACACTATAAGTTGGAGACAACACGTTAAATAAACAAATATGAACACTTATTTTTTAGGTCTTTTGGTAAAGTCACGTTAAGTGATGTGACCAAAAGACCCAAATAATCTGAATTCCTGCAGTCACGAAAGCTTAAGTCAACTATGAACACTCTGGTTATTTCGGTAAAGTAACGTAGAAAGAGAAAATAATAAATTAAATAATAGCATACGACGTTTCGATTGCAACAAGCAATACTCATCAGGTACAAATGAAAGAGAAAACAAACCTAGTAAACTTAGAACTATAATGCAATACAACACAGATAGTCAGCTAACATAACAGTCAACACCCTACCTGGTTGATTACGTTCTTCCAAAGATTGCTAAATTTAAGAGAGAGATAAAACACAGAACCGGAGACAAATAGACAGACACATAAGCGGAGAGAGATAACATAGAGACACAGAGAGAGACGCACACATAGGCACACAGACAAACAACGCCTCTGTGTCGAGGCCTTAAATAGAGAGAGAGGGGGGCAGAGAGAGGGGGGGGGGGTAGAGAAATTAGCATGTCAATGAGAGACCTGGCGCAACTGCAGGAAACAAGAGCAACAAAACGAGGGGAGACAGAGAGAAACCACACAAAATCAAACAAACTTAGTAAAATTTTGAAATGTAATGCAATGCAACACAGAGAGTCGGTCAACACACAATGCATGGCCTGGTTGATTACGTTCTTCCAAGGATTTCTAAATTAGAAGTTAAGTGTGAAATTTGAGAGAGACACGGCACAGACACGGAGACACAAAGACAGACATGCGGGCAGAGAGAGAGAGACAACACAGCGACACAGAGAGATAGAGAAAACAAACTTAAAACCTCCCAGCAGAGGTGGTTCAAATTTGTGTAACTGCAGGAAATAAGAGCAACAAAACGGGGAGACAGAGAGAAAACACTAAATCAAACAAACTCAGTGAGATTTGGAAATGTAATGCAATGCAACACAGAGTCGGTCAACACACAATTGACGCATGGTCTATGAACACTCTGAGTCTATCGCTATATGCGTGTGAGTTAACTAACGAACGGGTCAACAGCACACCTGCTGCTTGACCTACGAATCCCTGGTTCAGACTAAACGACGAACGAGGAGCGAAGGCTCCCAGTTGATCCCCACAGAACGAGCTCCGATCCCTGTCGGGGCTTCCCCTTTATTCCCCTGGCCGTGACTTAGCCCCGCCTTCGGCCCCACCCCATACTGTATGAGGGCAGGGCTCTCGGCCCCTGGTCACATGTCCCTCCAGTACCCGGCGCTACAGTATAGAGACAGTATATGTCACTACACTATCCAGCCGACCCGGCTGTAAAACTCCAGAATTTAGAAGGGGAGAAAGAGAGGAGAAAAATAAAAAATAAACTCAACATTTGCGCACAGCCAACCCGGCTGAACATGCCCGGCTGTGAAGAGGGCGGTGGGGCTGTAGAACCCGGCACTCTAAAAGCACCAAATGCTTAATGTGGCATTGCTAACCAGAAAGTCAAAGGGGTGACAAGCAAGCACCGCGAGCGCGCCAAACAACATAAGGCGCGATGAGAGTGCCAACTACAAAAAAACAAAAAAATTCAGTTGACACGTCGAACGCGAACCCCCCCGCATGTAGCAACCAATTATGATATCAATGGCAACGAAGTACAATACAGCCGCGAATACGATGGGGGGGGGGGGGGTGGTGGTGGGGGAACCAGGCACAACCCATGGGGCACCGAACGCGCCCACGCCAACCACCCGCAACCTGGTAGACGGTACGGGACGGTATCCTGTGCTGAAGACGATTCACTTGAACTGTACACTTTTTGAGCGGGTCCTCGTCGCTGGACCCCCGGACGGGGTGAGAGAGCCCTTTTCGGAGGATCCTGGGCCTGGCTGGCAGTGGCCCAATGGGCGCCGCCCCTCCCGAGGTGGAGAAGGAGGAGGCTGTCCGGCCTGAGAAGACGGAGTGGGCGACGGATGCACTTCCCCCCATTAAGCCGAACCCGGCGGCGTAGCCGGGATTGGAGATGAAGAAACGCCGTTAGGCGGCCAAAATTTTTTAAGACGTGACAAGTTCACGAACCAGCACCTGCGGCTGAATTGGATGCGAACACTTTGCGGGCTCTTAACCTGAACAATTTCCACGGGACCCCGCCAGGGTTTATATAGCTTAGGGGATGTCCCCACGGGGACCTGGGGGCAGTGAAGCCACGCCCTATCCCCTATTTCCCATTTGGTCCCCGTTACCTGGGTCCCCACACGCCGCTCGTTAGCAGCTTGTTTGAAGGCCGAATTACCTCGGGAGGCCTCCCTAACCTCCGACAAGCGCTGGAGGGTAAAACGTACAGGGTCGGGCATTTTCTTACGAGCCAGATCCGGATTCATCTGGACATCAATTTGTGGATCTTGCTCCCTCCCGTACATGAGAAAAAATGGTGAGCAGCCGGCGGATGCATGAGGGGCCAATCTATAAGCGGCAAAAACACCGGGACATGCAGGTCCCAGTCGGTTTGTTCCTCATTGACCTGCTGACATAGCATGGATGTCAGGGTCCTATGTAGGCGCTCCACCATGCCGTCGGTCTGCGGGTGATAGGGTGAGGTGCGGATCTTTTTGGTGCCCAAAAAGTCACACACCTCCTTGAGCGGTTTAGATGAAAAATTTCTGCCCTGATCCGTGAGCAGGCGTTCCGGGGCTCCCTTATCCAAAATGTACCCATGGAGAAAAGAGTCCGTGATTGTCGCAGCCGTCTGGTCCGCCACCGGCCAGGCCATCGGCCACCGAGAAAGGTACTCCACACCCACCAGCAAATACTTGTTTCCCCGCGGGGTGGTGGGGAAGGGACCGAGCATATCAAGCGCGACGAGCTCATTCACACGGGAAATACAAATCGATTGGAGAAGGGGGCACGCCAATTTTGGTGGAGGTTTTCAGCTTGCACATGCAATGCACCCTCGCAGCACATTCTGAATGTGAGCAGCCATGCCGGCTCAGAAAAAGTTAAGGTGAAGGGTGGACAGGGTCTTTTTGACCCCCAAATGCATAATGCGTTCGTGCGTTGCCCAAATCAACTTGCCCCGCAGGAGGTGGAAATGACCACATTGTCCTTTTGTAATTCAGCATCCCATCGCATCAGGAGCCCCCCTCGCAGGATCACCGTGGATAACAGTCATCGGCTCTCGCCCTCCATTAAGTCACAAACACAGTGCCTAATGGTGAGCAAGCATGTATCCTCCGCCTGGAGTCACCCCCACTCGGTGTTGGTGAGACCAAGCGTGTGGTCATGCATGTCCACTGCGTCCGTGTGTGCGACATCGGCTGCAGCGACAACCATACGGGGTGGAACTGAATCGGCGGGCCTACACCGTCCCACGCCCGAAATGCATGCGCACTTGTCACCGGGTGGTAAACGTGACAATCCGTCAGCATTGGTGTGGCGGACACCCTTTCTATAAGAAACTACGAACGCATAGTCCTGAAGGACCTCAAGCCAATGGGACAGCAGGCCGGACGGCTGCTCAACACGCAGCACATACTGCAGGACCACATGATCCGAGCGCACCTTGAACTTGCGTCCTTAGAGGTACGGCCGGTACTGCTGGACGAAATAAACAGCAACTCACGACGTGTAAAGCAGTAGCGTTGTTCCGCCGGAGACAGCACCCTACTTCCATACGCAACCACCCGCTCTACTCCATCCACAACCTGGGACAAAATGGTGCCAATACCCGTGTTGCTAGAGTCTGTATCAAGGATGAAAGGCAAAGAAAAATCTGGGTACCGAAGGGGAGGCGCATTGACCAGGCCGTCCCGTATCCCGGCAAATGCAACCTCCTCCTCCCCCACCAAAATTTCTGACCCTTGGCCGTGAGGATGTGGAGCAGTTTAGCGATCGTGGCGAGCCCGGGGACGAAACGTCGATAACAAGAGGCAAACCCGACAAAACTACGTACTTCACCTACCGACTTGGGGGTTGGCCACGTGCGCATGCACGCAGTTTTGTCAGGGTCCGGTGGCACTTCTGCGGCGTAAACTTTAATTTTGCAGCCCTCATTTTGATGAAAACAGCCCACAACCTCTGTAGGTGCTCCTCGAACGTACATCCGAACACAATGATGTCGTCGAGATAAATTAAGCACGTGTCCCATTGTAGGCCTGCTAACACCAGCTCCATCAGCCGTTGGAACATGGCCGGGGCTGAGTGAAGTCCCATCGGAAGCCGGTTGAACTCAAAGAGGCCCTCAGGCATGCAGAATGCAGTCTTTGGCCTAGAGCTGTCATCTAAAGGCAACTGCCAAACTCCCGACAGTAAATCAAGCGTGGAGAATGTTGTATATACCGGGTCTTGAAAATAAAAATAAAA